GGCACATGTCGCTCACTTAAAATGTCACAAGTACAATTATTGCTTTTGATTTCAGCTTTGTAAGCTAGCAGCCAAGTCAGTGTAAATCTGTGGTGCTGCTCCTATGTGTGGAGCTATTCAACATTCCAGTGATTCACCATTACTGCACAAAAAGTCCTCATAGAGTCAGTGGAGATGTCGCCATGCTCTCTCTGTACATTCTGGTGCTATGTCATTGGTGTGTGAATGTGTGTGTGAATGGTTGAATGTGTATGATCTCCTGTAAAGTGCTTTGGCCAGTGTAACACACTGCGAAATATGCGTTATATAAATACAGTCCATTTACCATTTACCATGTTCCATCCAATCAGTCTGTAACAACTAAACTGGAAAGTGTCCCAGAGCAGAGTCACACCATTTAAATACAGTAAATCCCATCAGATGGTAGGCATTTTCACCTGTCAGAGCACGTGGTCTCATAGTGTTAATGCAATTAAGGCTGTATTTCATATAAGTTCTAGTTCCAAGGTTTGATATTGTACATGCCAACTCATTGCCCAGGCTTCCTGTGGCAGGGCCATCGTTAACGTTAGCTACCTCTGCTTCTTCTGTTACAGTATGATCAGATGAAATTTCTGTGATCTGTGATTCTGCCATTGAGTGGTTGAATCCATTTTCTAAACATCCTTTTTTATTTAGAGCCACAATGAATATAACAATCTATCATAATGATAATGTACTGTATTTAGAAACAAAATTATGAAACAGAATAATAATCTTAAAGAAAATGATTGGTAAAGATGATTCTGTTTCTTCACATTGACAGAAAAACACATTTTTGAACCACATCTGTATAGAATATGATCATCCTACTGTATGCTGCCTTTCAAAAGTGTCCCAGTGCACAGCGAGCAGGGATCATCTTTCTGAAGAGCACAGCAGAGTGATGTGGTAATTCCATTTACACCTCTGGGCTGCATGATATTGTATGATGTAATGCTGACCGCTGTTACTGTCAGCAATGTGTCTTGTAAAAATTTTGACGTAAACAACCTAACATTACAGAATTCAGCCCAAATGCCACTGCATGTAGGGGAATATTTACTTTTGAACTAACAGAGTCTGCTTTTTTTTATAATGTCACAAACAGTGGTCAAAACTCTAAACACTACAACGGTATCAAAGGGGAATCCCAATTCTCACCATAATTTCATCACTGAGGTCTACAGAGAGCTCCTTGGTTTCTGTCCTGACTTGCAGTTTGAATTGTGTTACTTCATATCCACAGATGTTGATATGCCTTTTTAAACAATATCCAGTCTATTCTCCTTGCCACAGGTGGACTTCAAGTTCTATCCCGAGGACAATGGAATTCATGTTTGCCATAACTGTAGCTAGACTATTACTGTAGGAAGACTAAGGTAATAAACCCAAACTTCTCCAGTAACATCACAGCATCAAACATTTTTAACTAGCAACTAAAATCTTCTCTTAACATGTGTGAATATTTGTTTTGGGGTGTTTGACGGGTACCTCCATGTTGTCACATAAGAATAAAAATAAGGTTTTGTTAATGATGCTTATTTTGTTCCTATAATAGGATAATAGTACTGTATACCAGTGTTGTAGCTGGTGCATAAAAATATCTAGAATTTTGATCCAAACATCAAAATTGTCAATATGGGAATATATAAAGGCAAAACATGGAGGTGACTGTGGTTCAGTGGGTAGAGCAGTTTTCTCCCAACTGGAGGGTCGGCACTTCAAATCTTGGTGCCTGCAGTCCACATATCGAAGTGTCCTTGGGCAAGACACCGAACCCCCAAGTTGCCCCCGATGGTTAGAGCCATTGGTGTGAGTTGGCACCGCAGATGGCTGCCTCAGTTCTGTACCGGAAACAAATTCCTTGTGTGTATAACATACTTTGCCAAATAAAGGTGATTATGAATAATTGATAGATTTTACAGTTTATGGAAGAGGATGAAATGTTTTCAAGGGAATCAAAGTGTTGATTGCGTTACAACAAGCTTTTTTATGGTGTTGCATTGTTTACATTAAAATAAAATGATTTTTACAATAATTATTTTCTAATTCTTAAATAGCACTGCTGCCATGTGGCAAATGGCAGGATAAATAACAGCGTGGCAGGTTTCTTTTTTTCAGGTTGCACCATGTGACAATTCTGTCACACCATATTACATCAACTTTATTTTACATAAATATTCAGAACATGCATATTAAATAATTTAATAGTTAAAATGAAATTATCCATACAATTATGTTCTCCTTTTTAAATTAGTTTCAGTTAGCCATGTTTTTAGCATGTTGGCTATGCTATGCATTTTAGAAGATTCTACTCATACATTTGATCTATTTATTTATTTATTGTTAGTATGAGGACAACACATCCAGTAAGGAGCAGACAACAAATACAGGGAATGACTGAATGCTGCCCCTGCAAGGAGGGAGGAAATCCTCAGGGTAAGAAGAAACTAAATGGATATCAGTTCACACAGGACAGGAACCGAGAGCAGGTCAAAAGTCTAGGCCAAAACCTGCAAAAAGTTTTTTTAGTCCAAGATAATATTATACTCCTGATGTTATTTGGTGTTTTTATTGGACAGTTAAGGCTGTGCAAATGATCTATTTTTATGCATGAGTTTAGTCCAGCATGTGAAATTACTGTACTGGTATGTTCACATACTGTATGTGAATTTCTTTCATGGTGTTTTAAATATTAGGCTAATTGAAAAATATATATTTTTTCATATTATTTAAGCCCAGTTATTCTTCACACATTTTGTAAATGAATGTTGAATTCATTTTTCATCATATGGCGTGACATAAATATACTAAGAATAAATAAACTTGGATAATTACAAATGTAATATTGACCAAGTGTTGAGACTGATGCTTCAAATTCTTCTTCTTCTTCTTTCAGCTGTTCCTGTTAGGGGTCACCAACAGCGAATCATCTGAGATTGATGCTTCAAATAATCACCATAAATTTGTCCTTTATGCTTTGGTGTTACAGAGTTAAGCTAGAATATTATGTCTAATGGAGTCTGTGTTGGTAATACTTCTAAAGGTGTCAAGATATCAACCCATGTGAAAACAATGTACTTAATTAAATGTTGGTTTTAGTAGATTAATGTTTAAACACTGTGCTGTGTACCTTAAGCAGAAAAGTAGGCATCTTTTATATTTTTTGAGGAAAAATAGTCTGTCACACCATATGACCATCTTTTTTGCTGTACAGAAAAACAATATAAAATGAAGGTAACAAAAATTACAAAATTAAAATGAATAACATACTTTACTAAATATAAGGGATTATAGGCTATATATGCAACTATGTAGATTTTGTGGTTGCTTTTTAAAAGCATTTTTTCTGCTTATTTTATTTGTCACCTACCTTTTTTCATAAAAAAGTTCTCTCCCGGCATTCAGGTAAACTGTACAGTATGTTTCTATGAATATAGTCTCCCTAGATGCTACTCTAAAGCTCTCCATGCTGCCTGGATTTTATCCTGATGAAATCAATTTACTCAAATGCAATTAGATTTCATTGTTTTGTCTAAAAACAATCAGATCTAAAAGAAAAAAAAAGTCTTAAAATATAAGAATCAGCTTTTAAAATCCACCATGTATCATTTGTAAGTTTAGGGTTGTTTGAAATTCACAGACACAGTAGTGGATTGGCTATGATCCTGCACATTGGTTAAATTTCTGCGTTGTTGCTATTTATGCAGTCAAAGTGGTGCCACAGACCAGACACAGCATCCAATTGACGCTATTTGACTCCAGAAGAGGGGGCTGATGGGTGAAATTTCTAATGAGTGGATCTCCCTCAGTTTTGACAAAGTAAAGGCAGAATATGAAAGGAAATTAGGCAACATTGCCTTCAAAATAAAAAGGATTCCCAGGGGGAACTCTCTATTTGTTGTAGGTTTGTCGCAAATGAAACAACATAGTACTGAAAAAACAATTCAGTTCAATAAAATTTTATTTGTATAGCACCAAATCACAACAAAAGTCATCTCAGGACACTTTACAGAGTAAGGTCTAGATCTTCTTCTTATTATTATTATTAGAAAGAAAAACCCAACTACTGGGTGGTCTTCTGCCTCGACCGACTGGGATGAGTGGATAGTTGGACGATAACAGTAGTTATTATTTTTCAGTAATATTATTATATAGAAGAGTGGTGTACCAAAAAAAACAACAACCTCATAACACACAAATCTTAGTGGAACATTAGTAATAGCATTTTGAACTTTTATCCATTGTAGCTATGTGTCAAGTCCGCTCGGCACGACCTGCCTCTCTTCTGGCTTTCTCTCTCCTGCTTGATGTAATCAGTGACTTGTGGGTTGTCGCGCACAGCTGGGGCACATCACTGTAATCACCCTCCTACCTTATTTATACCTCTGGCGGACGCTCTGTCGTTGCCGGAGCATTAACTACTGTAACGTGCACATCCCGCAACAGTCATCCCAGTCTCCTCCACCATCTCTGCCCCACTTTGCTGTTTATATATGTTCACAGCCTTTGTTATGTTGTTGCTTTGTGTTTTGTTCCATTAAACCTCCTTTTTTTTTTTACTAGCACCTGGGTCAGCAGTCTTGAGTCCTACCATAGTTCTCCCTCACCCTCCTGGTGAGGGGGACTAACCATAACACTGTGATCTTGATCAAACACTCCTATTTGTATTTCATGCATATTTTAATTTTTTTTATAAATCCTTAGCCTATGGCAGGTTTTCTATTTTCCCACGTTCCCATTTAATTCAATGGGAAAATGTGTCCAGATTTTGGACAGTTTATGTGCGTGTGTTTAAGATGTAGTTCCAAGTGCTGCTTTACTCATGCGTTTCATAAAACTACCATTATAGTGCGCTCCTCAATTAGAGGTTTTATTTTGAAGGACTTGGCTGGAAGTTATTAGGATATAATTTGACTGCCTTGACAGTAGCACAATCCCCGGGCTTCCAAATAAGAAATCTGGCTGTTGCTGCGCACGGACACACAGACAGACAAGTAAACTCCCTACAGAGCCGCGAGCTAGGGACGGAGGTTCCCGAGATGCGCACGAGCTTCCTTTGATTTGCTGCTCCGTTAAACCTTCACATTCACCTGGAAGACTGTCTAACCTGAAGACGGGAGGGATTTTAGATTTGGAAAATAACATTGAGACACATCTTTGTATTTCTGGATTAACAAACACAAACAATATTTAAAAAGGGATTTCACAAATTAAAGAGAACAGAGAGAGAACGTTTGAATTGGGAACTATGTAAGAAAATAACAGCCGGTGATTACATTCGGGATTTTCTGAATCCATTTACGCACTGGAAGCGCAGTGGAAATTACCGGAGATTCAGAACTTTCTTAACCCAATAACATTACATTTATTTTGCGTTGCATAATACGACGTTTGAATTTATATTAATGCGTTTTGTGGACTTATCCTAGGACTTATTCCCAGGCTTCTGGAATTGGAAAACGCACCGAGGTTTGACCACTGACTAGTATACATCAAAGGGACTCGCAACTTACACAAGGTAAATTCTTATTTTTGTATACATTTTTAATTAACATATGTGTGGACATAACCCTTTCCTGACGCCTACTCACCTACAAGCTTACTGTGCACACATGTCGTCAGCACAGCTAATTTTGTTTCCTCTCCTTTGTGTTTTGGTGAGATGTGCGTCGATTTGGTTGCAAAAAAGAGCGAAAGCTATCAAGTTAGTAAACTGACTGTTGATTCTGGTTATTGTGTTTCTCCGTATAATATGGTCTGCGTTAACTTAGGCTGGGGAGTAGCATTTTCAAGTGTCACACACCCAACTGGTTTGTACTCAGGAGAATCTCACCGCTGGTGGACAGTCGCCGTCTGGGCAACTCAGTCTGCCGGTGGAGGCACGTTTCTTTGGGGACACAGTGTCGCCCGACTTCATTCAAAAAGCATATAATTGAATGAGTTTTGCTCATTGTCAGAGGATTAATACTGGCTAGAATGTCACTTAACTAATTTTCAGAATGAGTAAGGTCAGCTCCTTGTATCAGCACAACTTATCCTCCAGAATTAGTTTCAGCATTAATATACATTTTAACTTTGGTAATTGCTTCCGTACGCCCAATTTATTTAATTTAAAGAAAATGTTGTCTTTAGGCTTTCCTTATACGATGCGATTTTATAAAATAAGCGCTCATGAGCAACTCGCAGAATGTCTTTTCAGTTTATTTTGTGGCTTTGCAGATAAGCCAGGCTGCCTTTAAATACACGGTTTTAAGTGAATTTGGCACTTCGGTTGTTCATCTGGAAAGA